TTTTTCTAAAAAGTCCTATTATGGTTTATTATTGGATAGAGCAGAGGTAGCCTTTCCTTATCTCACGGTTTAGATACCTCGAGTGCCGAGAAAGCTGTGTTTCTTTACATGGTTAGCTATAAACGAGGTGAGTCTAACGGCTGAGAATTTCAGGAAGAGGAGAGTTACATGTATCAGTTGCAGCTTCATGTACAAGCGCTCAGATGAAGAAGTAGATTACCTTCTTTTACATTGTCATATTGCATCTTGCCTATGGTGTGAAGTGTTGGGTTGGGTTGGGTTGGACTTCAGCGGTGATGCCACGAACGGTTAAAGAAGTAATGTTCGGTTGGACATTCAACATTCAGGAGGAGGAGGAGACGCAAGGCTTGGGATGTCGCTCCAATTGCACTCATGTGGACCATTTAGAGAGAGTAAAATAGAAGACCTTTTGATGTGATAGAGAAGGACTTTTACATTCAAGGAGTAGCCTCTTTTCCCTTATTATGTTTTGGTGCACCAGATTCCTTTAAGCACAGAAGATTGGGTGCCTTTTGTAGATAACCATCTTTTTTGTGAGGTTTCTCTATATTTGGGTATGCTTCTTGTATACGGGTATTTATGCCCTTCATTAATGAAATCTTATTACCTATTTCAAAAAAAAATAAAAAATAACCATATTATGAAATACCAGTACTTCATCAATGTTAACTCTAGAAGGTAGTGCAAAAAATAATGTTGTTACTGCATCCAAGGGTGTGGCCTAGTGGTCAATGAAGAACGTTGAGAGCAATAAAGTCTTGGGTTCAAGGCCCAACGGAGACAAAAACACTAGGTGATTTCTTCACATTTGTTCAAGTTTTGGTGGATGGGGTTACCCGGTACCTGTGGTAGGAGATAGGATGTACCCACTGGAATTAGCCAAGATGCGTGCAAGCTGGCCCGAACACACGGTTATAAAAAGAATGATTTTGTTATTCTATGAAAAGGAAATTTAAAAGGCCAAATACATAGACAGCCCCTTAAACGTGTCCTTATTTTTCATGTAGACACCTAACCTAAGCATATGACCTATTGAACACTTTAACTATGCTTAAATTGTACCTATTAGATACAGAGTTGTGAAAAGAGGCTGCTTCCTCGCTTAAAGCGAGAAGCGAAGCGAGGCGACCCACTCACCGCTTCTGCTATCTGAAGCGTAGCAGGTATGAAAAAGCGGTCGCTTCCCACTAAAAAGCGAGAAGCGACGATGCGAAGAGAGGCGACTGAAGCGAGCGCTTCTCTGTTTTAAAGGGCTGCCTAATTAAAATAGATGTTCTTTTATTAAAGGCCAAATACCTATACGGCCCCTTAAACTTGGCTCCAATTTCCATTTAGACACTTTAACTATGTCAAATACCTATTGAACACTCCAACTTAATTCAAGTGTACCTATTAAACACTTCATGTGACGTGGCATAATGTGTGATTTTCACTCAAAGTTGGGCGCGTGAATAAGAAATATAACATTTGTTTTTTTTTCAAACATTTTTTTTATTCTTTGTCTTTCTCCTTCATTGTCTCTATCACTAATATCCCTCCAGATTTTCCTTTTCCTAATTTCTTCTCTGGATCTACTTACGGATTCATCCCAGAACATTGATTAACTTGTTATTTCACTTCAAATTCGATAAACTTACATGCCAAAGAAGAAGTGTAAACCTAAAAATGATTTATCAAGAGAGACCGAAAAAAACCTTGAAATCCAGAAAAGAATAAAAATCCAGCAATTTCGGATAGATACCACGAGAGAAACCCAACAATTTTAGAAATTAACAGAGAGAAATCCATCAAGAAAAATCCAGCAATTTCAGACAATAACCAAGCAAAATCGACTAGCTTAATTTGCAAAGAGAATCCAACAAGAAAAGCACAGCAATGTCAAATATCAGCAAAGCAAACCCAACAACACAAAGTAGCAATTTCAGACATCAACCAAGCAAATTCGATTTTGCTGAGAGAAATCCAGCAATTTCAGAGATTAAACATGAAAAACTAACTTTATTTTGTAGCTACATACATGGAGATTAACCCAACGATTTCGCCGGCATCGACTTTTCCGTTAGATGTTAGAATTTAACGCCAAGTAGCGAAGTTACAAACATGACAAATTTTCAACCAAGAAACAATAATATGTTTTTTGTTTGGACATAGCTAAAGAGAGGGATCGATAGATAAGAGGAGGAAAGACATGAATGGAGCTACAAAGAAGAGATAGCTTTAGAAAGAGGGGGGGGGAGGTGGAGATAAAACTAAAAGGGGTGAAAATAGATTTTTTGGAATATTTAACCTTAAAAAAAGAAAATCGAAAGTCAAAATGGCACATGTCACTTTTTCATTCGATCTATTGCCACATCATCCGAAAGTGAACAGTACGCACTTAATTATTTACACAGGGTAAAGAAGATGTGTTTAATAGGTACACTTGAAATTAAATTTGAGTGTTCAATAGGTACTAGCCATAGTTAAAGTATCAAAATGGAAATTGGAGCCAAGTTTAAGAGGCCGTATAAGTATTTGGCCTTTATTAAAACATATCGACCAGCACCCCAGCAGCAACAGAGAAAGAAAGAGGCGACTAGAGTTCCAAGTTTTCTACACTTTTTCAACTTTAAGATCATCAAGTTTGGTCCAGGTATGTGATTTCCTCCTCCTCCTCTTCTTCTTCAGCGTCCAAATAGCAGCGAAATGCTGGCGAATTTTTTTTTCCCTTCAGTTCTTCTTTCTCATTCTTCTCTTCTTCTTCTTCTTCTTCTTCTTCTTCATTTTCCACTGTTTCAGCGTCCAAATAGCAGCGAAATGCTAGCGAATTTTTTTTTTCCTTTCAGATCTTCTTTCTCATTCTTCTCTTCTTCTTCTTCATTTTCTTGCACTGTTTTTTCGTTTGAAATGCTGCCCATTTTTTACTGGAATGGTATACTGCCCTTCCTCTTATTTTTATATCCTTCATTCGTAGTTCTTATTGCCCTTCCCTTCAGTATTTATTTTAATTTTTTTTTTTTAAATTCTGCTTCATTTCAAAAAAGCGAGCGCTTCGCTTCTCGCTTCTAGCTTTAAGCGAAAATGGGGTTGTCGCTTTTCCTCGCTTCACGCTCTTCACAACACTGATTAGATACTTGAGGCACAAGCAGTTAAAATTTTCAAGCGCGTGAAGTTCAACTCGAGATGACGTGGCCGAAGAACCAATAAAAAAGACACACATCAGCAAAGAGAAGCAAAAACACGTAAGGAAAAAAAACTCTTCATCTCCTACTTCGAAACTGGTCGGACTTAATGGAAAGAAGTCCAGAAACGATGGAGCACATCTTTTTACTTCATTAGTTGCAAAATATATATATGTAAAATGAAGAGAAATTGAGAAACAAGAATAGGTCACCACCGGAAATTTTCTTAGTAAAAAACCCACCTTGTGAGGAAATGCAGAGCAGCAATATATCGTAGACCCACTTTGTTTGGAAATACAAATTGGCTGAAATGGCTTTTAAAACGGCGAAAAATGGCAGGTAAAATTTTATGCTATGCTCAGCGAACACCTTTCCTCTAGCGACCATAATACCCTTGCACTTCCCAGCGACAATTTGGAGTTCCGGGAAAGTTATGAAGAGCGCACATGCAGCATGGTAGTATTCCAGAGTTTTGAGATTGGATGTTGCTGTTAAAATTTTGAATTATTAAGCATTATCGGTTTACTTTTACTTGTCCACAATGGACTTTGCACTCCCCTTAAGAGATAATAAATGAATCGGTGTTGTCAAAGGCGAAAAGTGTTAAAAAGCGCTCCAGATCTATCGGGGCTTTAAGCGCAAAGCACAATTAAAGTGTGGGCTTTAATTAAAAAAGGCGCAACGAAGGAAAAAATAAAAACATATATGCAATATAAGACAAAATTAAGAATTTCATACATAATGATTTCCTTAACAATTGATATATTTTTTGCCAATTATAATTATTGTTTTGCACCGCTTTATTCAAGATAGAACTTATTGTTAATGAGGTGCACGCCTTAGTACCTTGCCTACACTGACGTGCAACATAAGTGACGTGAACGCATACCCTGAGCTTTTTTGAACTTAAGGGCTTAAGCGTGCCTCAAATGCCTTTGACAACACTGAAATGAATTATACATTTTACCATATTACCCATAATAATGACAGCATTTCAAGAAGTCTTGAGAAATGATTTAGGGAATGAGTAGCTAATAATAAGAGTAAAATAAGAGAAAAAATTATCTTTCTCTTGATTTGCTAAAATGGACAAGTAAAAGTGAAAATGTCTTTTTAGTATAGTGAATAAGTAAAAGTGAACAGAGGGAGTAATGTATATTTCCTTGCTAGTTAAACATTGATGCATTGCTTTTGTGATGGCCATTTATTCTAGATTGTTGCTAAAAGAAAATGGCAGAAACACCTTTGTGGAGTGACCGAAAGTAACTGAATGAGTGTTGTTCAAGAAGCAAAAAGAATGGTAGAATTATTGGTTTGAAAATGTGGCTAAAGAAATTGCATAAAAAACATGAATTTGGAGAAAGAATGGCAATAGAACCAAAACGGCCAAATTCCTTTTTAGGTGAAGTTTTATGTTTTCCGGCAAAAACTTTGTTGTAGCTTAATATATATAGTCATTCCACGCATTTAATTTTGAGTAAGAAGCACACACCTGCCATGTCAGCAGTTCGTGCCTAATTGGTACAGTTTGGGCATAGTTCAAGTGTCCATACGTCATATGCTTAGTTTAGGCGTCTAGATGAAAAATCAGGACTAGTTTAAGGGGCCGTCTATGTATACGGCCTATTTATAGGACTGGAAATGTTCACGGATAGATAAACAGGTAGATTTTGCATATAAAACCACATTGGCAGTAGATCAAAAAAATTCAATGACAAAACTGAACTTTCATATGTATACTTAAGCTACTTTTTACGATCAAGGTACCTGTGCAGCCATAACATCTGAATCTCCAGCATCTGTCTCCCCTGATTTTTCATAATTTTTTATCAAGTTCTGTCAAAAAGATTGGGAAAGAATCACTTAAAGCATTCAAATACTAAATGCGGAAAACATAAAAGAAACAGGAAATTGGTTTTAAAATTTGACAACTACATCCTTCTTGTTAGTTACAGGTCATACAAGGATCTAGCAAAAAAATATATTCAAATAAAATCATATCCAGCCAAAAACCCTTGTAAACAAGGTGAGTTGATCATGTATCATGTATATGTACAGAACATAGTTCCTAAGCATTATTTTTTTGATAGGTAGTTCTTAAGCATTCTTCTCCCTGTTACGTTGCAAATTTCAGCATTCATGCTAAGTTACTCTCCTGTGCTAGCAATTGAAGCATTATACTAAGTGACTACAATCTAGATTACCTGTTTCGAGCAACAAACATGCATAAACAATAGTAGTTTTTCCATTAACAGAATTCATGGAATACGAAGCTAAAACTAATTCAATCAGTGACAACGCAGTCATTAAGAATTATCTCATTCACTTCCAAATTTCAGCATCCACCGTATATAATTCAGTGCTCGCTGTAGAAGCATTATACACCTAGGAGATACTTATTACACCTAGAATACCTAATTCAACCTCAGTTAAGAGCATAACTAGAAAAAAGGTTTCTGTTAACAGAAATTCAAAAAATACTAACTTAGTCACAGATAAAACTAACTCAATTTTGGCGAAAAACACTAATAAAAAGGTGAACGCAAGTACCTGAAGCTCGCCTAATACATCAGATAATTTACCGTTTTGGAACAGCACAGTACCAGTATACCCTACACATAAGGAATATATACATACGATCAGATCAAACTAGCAAAAATCGCTAAAAAGAAGAAAATCGAAATTGAAATTTTACTTAGAACAAAGTAGCATGAAAAAGACTCAAAAGGGAATAGTTTGCATACCAGCACCGACAATGAAGATGATTCTGCCTAAGCCTATTCCGGTTTGTAACGCCATGGCCGGCGATGACAAAGTGATTAGCAAACCCTAGAACAAAATATTACTATGCGTCTCCGATGAGAATTTTCGGAGTTGAATTTACAGGTGGTAGTGGGAAGTGAGCTAATGTTTAGTCGTTGTTCTAATTTAGTGCTGTGAAACGACGTAGTGTTGGTACTTGATTGCGGTTAGCCCAAGATTTACCCTTTCGCCAATTGCATCGGTCCTCGTCGTGGAATTTAAGCCACGTCAACGACGTGGGCCGCGGCGCGGTTGCTGTTTTAGTTGAGTAGTTTGCCCCACTGATCAATGTACTCCATAGGTATCTTTTTATTAATTATTGAAAAAATTATATAGTTCTTAAAAATAATATTGATAAAATGTATTTCTTCTGTTTCAATTTATGTTAACTTATTTATTTTTTAGTTTATACCAAAAAAAATTACCTCTTTTCATATTTAGAAATAATTTACATTTATGCAATAATTTATAGCCACACAAAATATATGTGCCTCATTTTACACCACAAGTTCAAAAGTCTTCTCTATTTTCTTAAACTCCGTTCCCAGTCAAATAGGTTCACATAAACGGAGGGAATATATTTTTTGTATACAATATATGACTATACAATATGTATATTATACATAATCAGTATATATTTTTTATATGATTAGCAAATATAATTATTTTAGCGGACATGTCAAATGTGTAACTTAATCATGATTATTTCCTTTTCTCTTTTTTCTTCTTTTTGTCTCTTTTTATTTTGGTATGTTTTCAAGAAATCTCCCTCAAGTTTCTGTTTTGTAATACTTACCTCTTTTATATGTTAGAAATTACGCTTACTTATCTTATTTTAATTTAACTCCTTTGCAAAACTAATTTTAAAGATAAAAGATTCTTATGTTCTAAGTTTACTCTTTTACAATTTTAATTATTAAATGCAAGGATTGTACCATTTACCTTTCCTGGAAAAAAGAATCATATATTGCGTATTTTAAATCAAGTTTAAGACCTCCAAATGACATTAGAAATTGAAAATTACACGAACATAAGATAAAATGGTAATAATAAAGAACCAACAATCGTAGGCTTAAAAAAAATATACGGCTTTGATTGGACATAATATTTTGTACATAAATTAGAAAACACAAATGGATATCGGGGAGAAATATCATAAATCTATATCATGGCCGGCTCCAACCTTATGTGGAGTAAGGCGTGTGCCTTAGGCCCCCAAATTTAGGGGCCCTATTTTTTTTTAAAATAATAGGTTTATAAGTATTTTAAAAATAATATTTAATTTTTTAATACAAAACTAGAGTTTTTAATATAAAGAAAAAGAAGACTTTTCAGATATATAAATAAAATAATACTTTGACTTATTTAAAATGTGTAGATGAATAGTTTTCATAACTTTTAGTTTTTCATTTTTTATTCCTTCATTAAAAATTTGCTAAATCTTCCTTAATTTGTCCAAGTCAATCTTTCTTTTTTTTTTCAATCTCTTCATATTTCAGAAAACCCTATATATTTTTTGTGTTTCTCTTTGAAATTCTTACTTACTTATTTCTCCAAGATTTCATTACTCACCTTCTTTCTCCAAGATTTCATTACTCACCTTCTTTCTCCAATATTTCACTAGTTCAAGTGTTCAACAATACTTTTAAGTTTTCAATAATTCTATACTTCTATTGCTTTGTAAAATCTTATCTAAGATCAACAATATCTCAAGAAAGATTAGATGGGTTGGCTATATTATCAATCGAGCAATAATTATTAGAGAAATTCGATTATAAAAAAAATTATTAACAACTTTATATCTCAAAAAGTTAGAAGAATAGACTTCAAATAAAAACATATCTTATTAAAAATTTAGGCCTCATATCAAACTTTGGCTTTAGGCCACATGTGTGCTTGAGTCGCCCCTGATCTATATCTATCTATATCCCTATCTATATCTATATTTATATTTATTATAAAAGCACTAATATTCCACGCTAAATGTTGAACGATAAAAATATCTTTAAAATATTGATCGACTGTTGTGCCCTTAAATAACTAAATATTTGTTTAATGAAGCAAGTTAAAGGTGGGTGCAATTGTATATTCAAACTAATTGTAATATATTAGTCACATTCATAGTAAACATACGCCTACCATAAACTCCTACAAAGTTGCTTCAGTTCTAATTGTGATATGAATCAAATATTAGTCGAAAGTGTGCAAAATATGCAATTAAGACATCAAATTGGAAAGGATTCCACCGACTTGCAACCTAGAGATGTCATCTATTATAATCCTTCCTACTTATGAGAGAATATCATCTAAGTTTGCTTTTGTTTTCTCTCTCTCTGCATGTTTACTTATCTTACTGGCTACTGCATAGTTAAACATCTTCTCATATTTTTCTACTTTAATTATTGTGCTGATTTATTCTGGATCTGCAGCCCGAGGAATAATTGGAGTTGTATTCTTTTTTGTCTCATAATGTTTACACGAGAGATTTGGTTGGAACAATTTTACAATGTTGCAAAGTTTGTGATCATTTGCCGATAGCACCGGTTAGTCTATATGCCTTTCAGATTATGGATAAGAGAGTCACCTTAACCTAATATACGTAATCGTTTTTTTTCCTCTTTAAAACTGAGGATTGCTTCGGTTTAGGGTCATATGAATTATAGACTTTAACGAATACCTTTTACCGGGAATTAAAATTTGTGTTTGGTGTGAATACTTTTAGATTGATTTGATAGTATTTCTATTTTCAACAAATTCTTCTCTATTTTTACCTGTTTTGCATGATGAGCTTGTATCTTAAGTATCATCTGGTAAAATACTATGCTAATAATACTTCTAATTTCTTATTAATTATATGTATAATCAATCTTAAGATGTTTAGTTTGAAGAAAATTGAACAAATTGATGAAGGATATCTCACGTTGGAGGTCAATGTCCGCAGAGTATTTGAATCCTTTTAAAGTTTCGAATTTCTTTTACTTTTTTTTAAGTTTTCGTATTTTGAGAACATTAGGAAACGTTACAAATATTTTATTTTCGAGCCTTTGTCTTTTTATATTTTCACATTAGGAATTATTTTTAGGATTCTGGATAGGATTCGTCCACCTTTAACTAGAGGTTTCAGATTCGAACTGTGGGAATAGAAAAAAAAAATCTTGGCCAAAAGCACCTTCCCTTTAGTGAATTTCACAAAGCGCAAATCGGATTAGTCGAGACCCAATACAGATATCGAACACCAAATATTTCCAAGTTAATTTTAGTTTAAACTATGGTACTCTTGCAGAAAGAAGATAATAGAAGTCGGCAAACTTCTCGAAGGTATTATTAGTTCTCTATTATTATTTTCTTGTTTGGAATTGAGGATTATTTTCGTTTAGGATCATATATAATAATAAAAAATTGAATAAGAAAATCAACGTTTCTTTGTTTAGTTATTTTTTCTGATTATTTTGATTCAAGAAATTTCACTTTCTTTAGTGTTTAGTATATGATATTTGCTTTTCTTATGTACATGAAGAATTAATGGAAAATTCAGATATTAAATTTTAGAAGTTCAACCATAAAAATCCATAAGAAGAATATCTTATACTCTCTGAGAAAAACTATCAACGCTCCAAATTGCATATCCTCTAATGTGCATTGATTATATAGAGGACCTACTAAATACCTAGACTAAAGTAATTTTACTTTAGAGTAAAAGGCACTCGAAGACGCATACAACTACCGCGTGAAAGAGTATTACTGCAATAATTTGTAGACATCACATAATCAAATTTAGTTAAATTGAGATTGACTGACATGAAATCAATTGAATTTTGTTTACATGGGATATTTGTGCAGAGCACGAACATAGAGACTAGTATGAATTAAAAACTCTTCTCATGTGAAATTTCCTCACTAGCTCAACTGCAGTATATAACGACTATCAAAAAAATCAGTTTGAAAAGAAATTAACTTGAAAGCACATAAATACGTAATTAATTAGAAAAAAAATTAAAAACAACAACTCGATAAGATCTTTACACAAATAGTCAACTAGATTCACTCTTTATTTTTCATAGCAGGATTATAGACTAATTGTACATGACTATATACATATTATACATTGATTATGCATATATTATACATTTATCGATTATTTTAGTTTAAGCAGTAGGTGATCGACTATTTAGATTATTTCTCTACTTTATTTATGTATTAGTCTACCTAGAGATCCAAAGTTGGAATTAGTTGAAATAAATTACTTTATCTTTTTCTTCCATTTGAAAATAGCTTTGTGAGGGGAAACTGATTTAGTAATTTCACCATTAGTGAGTTTATAATCTCTTTCTAACATGGAAATATAACAATCAACATATATAGACATAAACCATGGTACAAAAGCAATCAAATTATTGTGACTACTAATATCATTATAAAAATTATTTTGGAACAAATTTATTAATTTCTCATCAAAATTACTAAAAAACCAATTTCTGAAAAGTTTCCATCTGGGTTTTTTAAATTCTTCAGAAATAATTTTTCTTGTCGGTGAACCCGGACTAAAATCTATTTGGTTTCTATCCATTTAAACCATTGAAAAAATTCATTTCGGATTCAGTTGGATCGAAATAGCACTAGCAATATTATCTCCATTTATGACCGGATCGCTTCAAACTACAGGATAAAGTTTTACTGAGACACCAGCCCTGTCAAGCCACAGTCCTGCCAAGCAAACCTTAAACCACGATCCTCCTCATGACTCTCTCAACGCCCACATGGCTAATACGAGTCTTAAGGACCACCAGTTATGTTTCCATAACCAAGGTTTACTGCCTGGACTGTTAAACTGTCCGGGCTCTACAGTCTCAACCTCAAAACCATTGGGTGATACAGTATATAACTAGCAACAAAATATGTTTTAAGAATAGACTAGTATGCATAAGTTCAACACAACACTATTTAGCCTAAATATTTATCCAAATTATAAATAAAATAAAGCAAATACCTAAGACTATTAAGATTGTGGCCAAGCGATCTTTTCTGCTTTTATTTCCAATAAAAACTGAATACAAGAATATTTTTTAAAGAGTAAGAGAGAGAGAGAGAGAGAGAGAGAGAGAGAGTTCCTAAAACTTTTCTCCAAAAAAGTCTGCTTCTAAACTAGAAAATGAGATCTTT